CTGACTGACAGTTGGACACTGACTGACTGACTGACAGTTGGACACTGACTGACTGACTGACATGTGGACACGACTGACTGACTGACTGACTGACATGTGGACACCGACTGACTGAATGACTGGTAGACACCAACTGACTGAACGACTGGTAGACACCGACTGACTGAACGACTGGTAGACACCGACTGACTGAATGACTTGTAAACACCAACTGACTGAATGACTGGTAGACACCAACTGACTGAATGACTGGTAGACACCAACTGACTGAATGACTGGTACACACCGACTGACTGAATGACTGGTAGACACCAACTGACTGAATGACTTGTAGACACCAACTGACTGAATGACTGGTAGACACCAATTGACTGAATGACTGGTAGACACCAACTGACTGAATGACTGGTAGACACCAACTGACTGACTGACTGACTGACTGGTGGACACCACCTGAATGACTTGTAGACACCAACTGACTGAATGACTGGTAGACACCAACTGACTGAATGACTGGTAGACACCAACTGACTGAATGACTGGTAGACACCAACTGACAGAATGACTGGTAGACACCGACTGACGGAATGGCTGGTAGACACCAACTGACTGAATGACTGGTAGACACCAACTGACTGAATGACTGGTAGACACCGACTGACTGAATGACTGGTAGACACCGACTGACGGACTGACTGACTGGTAGACACCGACTGACTGGTGGACACCACCTGAATGACTGGTAGACACCGACTGACTGAATGACTGGTAGACACCGACTGACTGAATGACTGGTAGACACCAACTGACTGAATGACTGGTAGACACCAACTGACTGAACGACTGGTAGACACCGACTGACTGAATGACTGGTAGACACCAACTGACTGAATGACTTGTAGACACCAACTGACTGAATGACTGACTGACATGTGGACACTGACTGACTGACTGACTGACTGACATGTGGACACCGACTGACTGACTGACATCTGGACACCGACTGACTGACTGACATGTGGACACCGACTGACTGAATGACTGGTAGACACCAACTGACTGAATGACTGGTAGTCACCAACTGACTGAATGACTGGTAGACACCGACTGACTGAATGACTGGTAGACACCAACTGACTGAATGACTGGTAGACAATGACTGACTGAATGACTGGTAGACATCAACTGACTGAATTACTGGTAGACACCGACTGACTGAATGACTGGTAGACACCGACTGACTGAATGACTGGTAGACATCGACTGACTGAATGACTGGTAGACACCAACTGACTGAATGACTGGTAGACACCAACTGACTGAATGACTGGTAGACACCAACTGACTGAATGACTGGTAGACACCGACTGACTGAATGACTGGTAGACACCGACTGACTGACTGACTGGTAGACACCGACTGACTGACTGACTGACTGGTGGACACCACCTGAATGACTGGTAGACACCGACTGACTGAATGACTGGTAGACACCGACTGACTGAATGACTGGTAGACACTGACTGATTGAATGACTGGTAGACACCGACTGACTGAATGACTGGTAGACACCGACTGACTGAATGACTGGTAGACACCGACTGACTGAACGACTGGTAGACACCAATTGACTGAATGACTGGTAGACACCGACTGACTGAATGACAGGTAGACACTGACTGACTGACATTACACCAATGTACTCACACACATAAAATGTACAATACAAGAGTATACTTATATACTTGTAAATTACCGTGTGTTCTCTTTTGATAATTCTTGTATTTGTGATCGTAATCCAATTTTCACAGAATCATCTTCATATCTTTCTTTATTACTACTCAGTGAGGATACTCCTGATGAGTTAGCATGAACTTCATCCAAATGTTCACCCATATCATTGCCCAACTCTGCAAGTAATGGTTATATTTGTTTTTAAACTTGTATTTAAAAAAAATACTATTATCTACTGCATTTTTATAACATCACTGCCTAATTCCCTGACAGATGGTCAACAACTCACCTGGTGCCAGTATAATAATAGTATTGTCTACTGCAATTCATATAACATCACTGCCTATTCCATGACAGATGGTCAACAACTCACCTGGTGCCAGTATAATAATAGTATTGTCTACTGCAATTCTTATAACATCACTGCCTATTCCCTGACAGATGGTCAACAACTCACCTGGTACCAGTATAATAATAGTATTGTCTATTGCAATTCTTATAACATCACTGCCTATTCCCTGACAGATAGTCAACAACTCACCTGGTACCAGTATAATAATAGTATTGTCTACTGCAATTCATATAACATCACTGCCTATTCCCTGACAGATGGTCAACAACTCACCTGGTGCCAGTATAATAATAGTATTGTCTACTGCATTCTTGATAATATTATTAAATGCAAACATCCAATGTGGCTTGATGCTATGCTGTCTTAAAAGCTCACATACCTAGAAAAAAAGAATTATATATCACAGGCATGAGTATGTGTGTACAACATTAGAGTATGTGTGTAGTGATACATTCATGTACCTCATTAGAGTATGTGTGTAGTGACACATTTATGTACCTCATTAGAGTATGTGTGAAGTGATACATTCATGTACCTCATTAGAGTATGTGTGTAGTGACACATTTATGTACATCATTAGAGTATGTGTATAGTGACACATTCATGTACCTCATTAGAGTATGTGTGTAGTGACACATTCGTGTACCTCATTAGAGTATGATTGTAGTGACACATTCATGTACCTCATTAGAGTATGTGTGTAGTGACACATTCATGTACCTCATTAGAGTATGTGTGTAGTGACACATTCATGTACCTCATTAGAGTATGTGTGTAGTGACACATTTATGAGCCTCATTAGAGTATGTGTGTAGTGACACAATCATGTACCTCATTAGAGTATGTGTGTAGTGACACATTCATGTACCTCATTAGAGTATTTGTGTAGTGACACATTCATGTACCTCATTAGAGTATGTGTGTAGTGACACATTCATGTACCTCATTAGAGTATGTGTGTAGTGACACATTCATGTACCTCATTAGAGTATGTGTGTAGTGACACATTTATGTACCTCATTAGAGTATGTGTGTAGTGACAGATTTATGAGCCTCATTAGAGTATGTGTGTAGTGACACATTCATGTACCTCATTAGAGTATTTGTGTAGTGACACATTCATGTACCTCATTAGAGTATGTGTGTAGTGACACATTTATGTATCTCATTAGAGTATTCTGTGGTGACACATTCATGTACATCATTAGAGTATGTGTGTAGTGACACATTCATGTGCCTCATTAGAGTATGTGTGTAGTGACACATTCATGTACATCATTAGAGTATGTGTGTAGTGATACATTCATGTACCTCATTAGAGTATGTGTGTAGTGACACATTTATGTACCTCATTAGAGTATGTCTGTGGTGACACATTCATGTAACTCATTAGAGTATGTGTGTAGTGACACATTCATGTACCTCATTAGAGTATATGTGTAGTGACACATTTATGTACCTCATTAGAGTGTGTGTGTTGTGACACATTCATGTACATCATTAGAGTATGTGTATAGTGACACATTCGTGTACATCATTAGAGTATGTGTGTAGTGACACATTCATGTACCTCATTAGAGTGTGTATAGTGACACATTCATGTACATCATTAGAGTATGTGTATAGTGACACATTTATGTACCTCATTAGAGTATGTGTGTAGTGACACATTCATGTACATCATTAGAGTATGTATATAGTGACACATTCGTGTACATCATTAGAGTATGTGTGTAGTGACACATTCATGTACCTCATTAGAGTGTGTATAGTGACACATTCATGTACATCATTAGAGTATGTGTATAGTGACACATTTATGTACCTCATTAGAGTATGTGTGTAGTGACACATTCATGTACCTCATTAGAGTATTACATGTTGGCATTGTGTGATTCATGTATTCCTTACGCAGTATACTTACACAGTCCTGAAACACATATAATACCAACTGTAGTTCATTCAACACATTGGCATCAAATTCTATTTCTTTCTTTATTTGACCTACCGGTACAATAGATATTCATTTCAAGAATGTAGAAGTAAATTACAGTAGGTCATTGCTCACAGTACAGCAGATACAAACATGGCGGTAAGTTAAACCTACAAATCATTCTTATTCACTATTCTCATAACACAAATATTTCACATATTAACACTTTTAATTAAATCTTCAGAACAAGTAATTGCACAGCCACGAGTTCTCAAGAATGTGTAAACACTGACAACATGGGATGTATAGTTTAGTTGATGTGGGAGCTACAAAAAAATGTATAACAAGAATAACAAGAACTGCTTGACAATAAGGATTTAAATAGCGGTTATCATTTCTACTGCAGTTGAAACAGCATGCATGGATTTTGGTTTGCAAAAAAAAAACACAAATCAACTGAAAAACCCAGGCCATGTCATAAGGTGAATCAATTGCCACACCACCAGCACACTTCTGGATCTGTCATTGAACAGCGCCCTCTCTCATCTTCGGTGAGATAGTGTTAGTTTTGTCTGAACAAAAAAGGTTAACTTTGAACTGCTAGAGATATGTTTACATTCATGGGTGGATATCTCAAATATCACTGACATCAGATATCTGGTGTAATAGCATATTAGAAGGGAATAGTCGCTAAAAACAAAATTGAAAATATACCATCACAAAATGAACAAATCTGATAGAGATGTACTCAAGGGTTCAACATATCCAGTATCAAAATCATAGGTTTAGAGGTTATCACAAAGAATTAAAAAATGAAATGGTATAGGGTTGATGAACACAGTTTCAATTTTTGGCAGTTGTGTGTAGATGTAATTGACCATTTTCTGTTAACCTCTACCCAGAAAGTCTTTCCAAAGTACCCCACCCATTACACTCAGCTCAAACCCTAACCCTCCAGCCCCCCATTTCTTTTGTATATGCCCCTCAAGCTAACTATATGTGTCCCCCAAGAGGGGCATATACAATTAATTTGAGTTAAAATTAGAGGTAGGGGTACATTGGAAAGTTTTTCCCATACAAATTCTCTACATCTCAGTATCTGCACTAAGTACCTACATGTACAAAGCATTCACAACAATAACATCTATTATTTATTGCCTGTAAAAAATATGATATCAGCAGCATTTATTTTTAATTTGGTGTAAATGATTTCCAAACTGTAGAAAACAATTTATTTTATCCCCAAAACACTCACAAATTATGGTGACTTACCTAATGCTTTAACGATGTATTCCTTATCTTGTACCTTTATATACTGTCTTAAGCAGTCCAACAAGGTTTCAAAATGTTCCTGGCAAAAAAAGGTAAATTTAAATTGAGTTTTACCAAACATGTATGCATTATATGCAAAATGCTTACAGAAAAGTGTTTAGTTTCTCACCTTTGTTAATTTAACTGGTGTTCCTGCTGAATCTTTCTGTACTCTATTATACCAAGTATCAACTAACTAAATAAAAAAATGGACATATTAATGGAATTCTGGTATTTGTTTATACATTATATTGATATGGCTTTTGAATAACAAAATCTTGTTTACGTAGTGTAATGACAAATGTGATCAATGAGTGAACCAAACTGATTGGTACAATGACAAATGTGATCAATCAGTGAATCCAATCTGATTGGTGTAATGACAAATGCGATCTATGAATGAATCCAATCTGATTGGTGTAATGACAAATGCGATCTATGATTGAATCCAATCTGATTGCTGTAATGACAAATGTGATCAATGAGTGAATCCAGTCTGATGTTGTAATGACAAATGTGATTAACGAGTGAGCCCAATCTGACTGGTGTAATGACAAATATGATCAACGAGTGAACCTAATCTGATTTTAGTAATGACAAATGTGATCAATCGCATTGGTGTAATGACAAATGTGATAATGAGTGAATCCAATTTGATTGCTACAATGATAAATGTGATTAATGAGTGAACCTTATCTGATTTTAGTAATGACAAATGTGATCAATCGGATTGGTGTAATGACAAATGTGATAATGAGTGAATCCAATCTGATTGGTACAATGACAAATGTGATTAATGAGTGAACCTTATCTGATTTTGGTAATGACAAATGTGATCAACGAGTGAATCCAATCTGATTGGTGTAATGACAATGTGATCAATGAGTGAATCCAATCTGATTGGTGTAATGACAAATGCGATCAATGAGTGAGCCCAATCTGACTGGTGTGATGACAAATGTGATAAATTAGTGAACCTAATCTGATTTGGGTAATGACAAATGTGATCAATCTGATTGCTGTAATGACAAATGTGATAAATGAGTGAACCCAATCTGATTGGTACAATGACAAATGTGATCAATGGGTGATGCCAGTCTGATTGGTGTAATAACAAGTGTGGTCAATGAGTGAACCCAATCTGATTGGTACAATGACAAATGTGATCAATGAATGAAAGAGCCCGGTCTGATTGGTGTAATGACAACTGTGATCAATCAATGAACCCAATCTGTGGGCCAAGACGAAGTGCTTTATACATAGCACAATGACAACTGTGATTAATGAGTTCATGTAAGTGGTGCAATGACAACTGTAATCGATGCCTGAATAACTTTTATATGATACAATGACATTGATAGATGGTATTGTCCAATGATTTCACTGTCTTTACTGTCCAAGAGTGCACTGTCTAATGGTAGAAAGCACCCTCATGGTGCAGGTTGCTGTCCAACAGTGGAGAGCACTATTTTGACCTACCTTTTCCTGATCTTCTTTCAATACTTGTATTAACGTGACCCTCCTTTCACTGTCTTTACGAAGTATATAAAATCCATCTGATGTTTCTGGAGTTATTGGAGTTGTAGAATCTGAAACCTCACTCAATCTCAACATAATAAAAAATAAATAATTTAGTCTCACTAATGTCAATATTTCACGCTGAGTTAGAGTTTATACTTCCAAAATGTCAACAATCAAACAGCAGTTTAAAAAAACACTCTTTGCCAATCTCAACCTTCATCACTTTGACATGTATACATTGTCTACCACAATCACTGTCATTTTCATTGACAACCACAATTAAACTGTCATTTATTCATTGTCAACCACAATCACTGACATTTATTCATTGTCAACCACAATTAAACTGTCATTTATTCATTGTCAACCACAATCACTGACATTTATTCATTGTCAACCACAATTAAACTGTCATTTATTCATTGTCAACCACAATCAGACATTTATTCATTGTCAACCACAATTAAACTGTCATTTATTCATTATCAACCACAATCATTGACATTTATTCATTGTTAGCCATAATTAAGCTGTCATTTATTCATTGTCAACCACAATTAAACTGTCATTTATTCATTGTCAACCACAATCATTGACATTTATTCATTGTTAGCCATAATTAAACTGTCATTTATTCATTGTCAACCATAATTACTGACATTTATTCATTGTCAACCACAATTTAACTGTCATTTATTCATTGTCAACCACAATCACTGACATTTATTCATTGTCAACCACAATTAAACTGTCATTTATTCATTGTCAACCACAATCACTGACATTTATTCATTGTTAACCACAATTAAACTGTCATTTATTCATTGTCAACCACAATCACTAACATTTATTCATTGATAACCACAATTAAACTGTCATTTATTCATTGTTGACCACAATCACTGACATTTATTCATTGTTAACCACAATTAAACTGTCATTTATTCATTGTCAACCACAATCACTGACATTTATTCATTGTTAACCACAATTAAACTGTCATTTATTCATTGTCAACCACAATCACTGACATTTATTCATTGTTAACCACAATCACTGACATTTATTCATTGTCAACCACAATTAAACTGTCATTTATTCATTGTCAACCACAATCACTGACATTTATTCATTGTCAACCACAATTAAACTGTCATTTATTCATTGTCAACCACAATTAAACTGTCATTTATTCATTGTCAACCACAATCACTGACATTTATTCATTGTTAACCACAATTAAACTGTCATTTATTCATTGTCTACCACAATCACTGACATTTTCATTGACAACTGTAATGACACTGTATTTGATTAGTGTCAGCCACAAACACACTGACATTTATTCATTGTCAACCACAATCAAACCAGTATTTACTCATTGTGATTGTCAACCACAACCACACTACTAAACAGTCTACTATTTACCTTGAAGTCTGTCTGTCAACAGGCACTGTACCACCTTCATCCCTGATAAATATAATATAAGATATAAACTTGATTACACTAGTACCACAGTAACCTACTGTTTAACACATTGCGTATTGACATCTTTTTATTTCTCATTCATTTTAGCTTTCTGTGAAGGTGATGTGCTCAACACTTTGTCTTTTTGCATATTAGTAAACCTCTTGATACAAAATCCCAAACACGTGTATAATTGATATTATTCTTTTTCTGATACCGTAACGCCATAAGTTACAACGTGTCGTAATTTTGTGGTATTGCACTGGGTATTTTCATCCTACCATATTAGGAAACGAAAATTAAATTCCAAATATGGGAACGATTACGTGCATAAGCATCCTCTAATAATAAAAACAAACATTGACCATACTCCACACAAAGAAGTTCACTAAATCTGTTCTAAACGTTTTTGATTTCGGCATTCCCATGATGTATTCCTGGGAGGAAAAGATGTATATGGATACTGCAAAGTATGCACTCAGATAGTACGTTGTTGCATAGACCTCCACTGTGCATCGGTCTATACTCTCGCTGTACTGTCTTCGTGCACACTTTACAGTATCCTCGTAATAACCTCATATTCATTATTAGCTATTCTTAAGGTTTGGAATTGTGAAATGAAATAAAAAAATAAAGTTTTGTTTATTTTTAATACTAGATCGGAATAAATCCAAGATATTTTGAATGCTATAAATCTTATTGCCAACATTTTGGTGATTTCATCTATTTGGATTTAGAGCCAAATTATAAATTTAACAAAAGCAACCACACAGTCGAAATAGCTCAGCTGTATTTGATGACAAAATTCATATTGTTCTGTACCACAAACAATTTATTGAAATTTGACAAAGAAAAAAGTTCAAATTTGATCAATGACAATAATATACAACAACAACGTTAACAACAACAGTAACAAGAACAACAACAATAACAACAACAGCAACATCAGCACAACAACAGTAACAACAACAGTAATAACAACAACACAACAGTAACAACAACAATAACAACAACAACAACACAGCACAATGACAGATATTTTCCCTT